AAACAATAAAAATAGATTAGTTTTTCATGTGTATAATATTTGAAGTTGAAAATGACTAAAATAAAATATCATATCTGTACTAAAAATGACAACTTTCTAGCGAATATTTTCGAGGAATCTTTTTAAAATTTTGCGGAATTCTATCTGGTGCTAAAGTGTAAGATCTCTTTAAGAACTGTTCTCGTTCTCCGTATATTTAATTCATGTTTCTTTGGACAATATAACACTTCGTTAATTTATAAATTAATGTAAAAAACGATTTACTAATTTCTGCTTCCACGCTGCTATAAGAAACTTGAACTTCGTTTTTAAGTTTTTCAGAACACTAAAATTAAATGATATCTAACGTCTCTCGACACTGTCACTTTTCACTTATTTTCGACGATCTAAGCGAGGTACGAGACACGAAATGGACCCTGCTAACTTTAAATGAACGGCTTATGTCAGCATTTTCGCAGGGCCTCATAAAAACCCGGCTGGCTTTCCCCAAAACACAATTATATGCACGGGAAACAAAATATTTCGGTTAAACGCTGTAAATTTGAGAAATTTTTATAAATTATAATTATAAATACATAAATTCGTTGGTAAATTAGAAACAAGTCCTGCATTTTTACACTAAGATCTTTTTCTAATTCAGATCTATTCAGAATACTACCGTCAATATGGTAATTATACATGATTGGTTGAGATATTCTTGTGTAGGTCATGGTACTGAAAAAAAAAAAAAAATTGACAAAAGTTTTTGCTTTTATTGATTTATATGGCTAAAATTTTGGAGCTTATTTCTGGGATACGATATGTAGATCCCAAAAGTTTTTTAAACAATTTGTGAATCATCTTGTGTACCATTATTTCGCGGGAGCCGACAAAAAACCAAAAACGTATCAAGTGACTAAACGCGAATTAACTCCACGGCAAACGGATGAACGAACGAAAAGCCTTCGCAATTTGCCTCGACGCCCAAACCCGATCCCAACAAACCCCAGTACGACAGAATTAAACCGCAATAATACCGTTTACTACCGGCCGGCATTTGTCTATCACTTTTATAGTTCGCAAGGCCTTAATAAAATCCAGAGGCCGTTTTTCCTCAGCGGCTTCTGCCGAGATCTTCTAGATAAAAGCCCGGGGATGAACGCGGCCACGGTCTACGTCCAAGACATCAAAAAGCTCTGGCAAACGCGGAGGCGCGCTGTTCGATGGAGCCAATAAAATCCGGTGTTTACTGGTACCGGCAACAGTTCTAAGTAGATTAGGAATTTATTTTTTGTCCGGCCCGTCCCGGGACGCAGTAAAACCGACGAAGCGGGAACGCCGTCAACGTAAACACGTTGGAATTGGCCTGTTTGGGGGTTAGGGAGGGCCAATTTATATCCGAAATGTATTAAGGCCGTGCATACATTACCGGTTAATGGTTGTCGCAGACGAACGCTTTGGGAAAAGAGTATAGTCTAGGAGCCAAATAGGGTTCCGTGGCCAATTAGAGTGCCACGGCTGCAAACAACTTATTCTTAATAGTCCAGACGGTATCTGTTTCAAAAAGCCATATTTGGGTGAATCGTATATCCACGGAGATTTTTGGCTTTTAGGCTTTCAAATATCACTAGAAATGAAAATTTTTCTATGCGCATAAAAAAAAACGTGGGCTTAACTTTTGGCGGCACAATATGTTAAAAAAATTGGAAAAATGTCATATTTTTCTTCCTATTTAATTATATATCTTTTTAAGAGTTGATTTTAGGCGAAAATAGAAGAGAAAAAAAATGTTTGTAATTAAATTTTTTACAATACATGACTGGTTACAAATCGAATGAATCATGATTATTATGGTAAAAATCGAAAAAATAACAAAAATGGGGTTAAAAAACAATACTTTTTAGGGAATTTTTTTGGTATTTAAATTGGGTGTAGGACCTTTATACTTGGCTCAAGAAAACTTCATGTTATGTAGAATCATCACACCAAATTTCATCAAAATTGGTTCGATAGATTTTGCATAATAATTTTGCAATTCAGATTAAAAAAAAATTGCAAATTTTCAAAATTTTGCACAGCAAAAACCAAGGCCCTTAGATACTTGAAAATTTAATCACATATAGAAGGGCTCTCAAGCTTTCAAACGCTTTTTGAAAAATTCGAATCCGTCAATTAGGAGAGCTCTGGCGCTTGTTTAAACATTCGTCGAATTTTTATACCTATAAACAATTAGAACTTTGTGAATATTCAATCAAATCAATTTTTTTAAAGCAGGTTTTAAAAGTTCTTGGAAAGACGCTTCTTAAAAAAAAAACAGATCGATTGATCAATTAGTTACGTAGTTAATTTACCGGAGCGATACATACGTGGCTTTTCATCGAAGTTGAATAAAAAAAGCCTTATAAACAAATATAACCAGCATTTTCCTTGAAATTTCACAACTTTCAACGCTGCCATTAATTGTTAAATAAATAAATTAATAAATGGAACTTACCTATCTTGTAAAATAAAGTTCAATCTTTAAAATGAGATGTCGTGAGTCTCAATCCGTCCAATAGAACCAGAGATATGGTAAAATTGGTTCGCGCGGAGACGCAAAATAGATATTTGCACTAAATTTGCAATAACTTTGGTTAAAGTTAATATTTTTTTAATTTTCAAAAAAGTATATGTTTGTTATGAGAAAATGTAACTATTAATGCATAAAAAATTGCACTACTTATAAAAATTAACTTTTTACAGCCTTGTAAACAATTAATTTGTTAATACCAATTAAATTGACTACTTTCAGGCTTTGCGACCAAGTTTTTTGGATTCAGGAGTTCAAAATACTTCAGATTAAGTTGTTTGCAGCCGTGGCATTCTGATTGGCCACGAAACCCTATCTGGCTCATAGACTAGTACGAGCAGTACCTAACAGATATATGAAGTTTGTACTGGAGGAGATTTCTTGCTGTGTTTTGTAGAATATTAATTAATAAGAATTGTCACTTTTTTGTCCGTTACGTAAGTTGTGCTTGTTGTAGGGGGTGGATTCAGAAGCAAGAAAAAGAAATTCTCATTAGAATATAGTTCTTTGAAGATACATACATCAGGAACAGCTACCAAAAGTGCTACAAACGTTTTTCACTAACCAATTAGAAAGTCTATCACTGGCCTACCGATTTTTTTTTATTTCTAGCAAGTACTTTTCAGTTTTTCTATATTCATTATTCATTCTACATAATTAGAAAAGTGAAGAGTAATTCTTTGAGTTTGATAAAAAATGCCCTTTACATTGTGTTATGTAGATACTTTATGAAGCTTTAACTTATCAGTAATCCACTCTGCAGTCTCAATATACATACAAACTTGAAGAGTGTAAAGTTGGAGAAATTTTTCAATTTCTTGAGTCTCCGTATTTTGTAAAATAGTACCTGAACAGAATTATCTTGTTTACTTTTCAACTCTGCACAATATTTTGTAAAAATTATTGTCTATTTTCAATTTAAACGATTTTTTTTTTTCAATTCTAAGGATTGTAGCTTTAATTTTTTATTATCTGAATAAGTATACGCATATCACAGTATTAAAGGTTTTCCAAAAGTAGTTACATTGCTGCAGGTTACTAGAATGCACTCACTGATTCTGTTAAATGCTAAAATGTTAGACCATTTATTCGACTAAGACCTGTTAAGTTAATTGTTAAGATAAATCGCAACTTTATTTCCAGAAAACATAACATGCACTAAGATAGGTATGTATATTAATTACTTCAAACGACTCCAAAGCTGATTAGCAAATTATTTTTACTTTTAAAATGCCACATTTACTTTTATCCATTTTGAAAGGTACGATTTAAAAAGTATTGTAGATTCGTTAAGAGACAAAAGTACTTTTTTCGCTTTTCGGAACCTAATTGGAAACTGAATGGGAAAAACTACAGACTATTTAATAAAACAGAAAAACTTTGCACTCTTCACATTTCGCTTCAAAGTTGAAAAGTACCTACTATCAAAAAGCATGCCCTTGGTTACGTGATACATTTCCCAATCGCTAACTTGGTCGATATGGTCCATATCCATAGCCACCACGGTGTCCAGATTGAACAATCATGGACTTTTACTTGTGGGGCCTATTCGAACAGATTGTATACCGTTGAACAATAGCAGCGACCAGCTATTATTGCATTAGGGAAGTTGTATAGTCCATATCTTTAGAAGAGGTTAGCCGAAGCTATAATTAATTCCTTGCTCGCCTCTAAATTTGTATGGATGTTGGAGGAGGATAGTTCGAATAATGTTTTATTATACTTTTCCCAAATTTATTACGTTGGTATCAATGACAAAAAAATTTACAATACAATTGTACAATTTACAAAATTTGAATTGAATTGGTTAACCCGTTTGGAAAATATATACTTAAACAAAAAATAAATTTTTAACCAAGTATTTATAAAACTAAAGTGTTAAAAAAAATCGCATCGCAAGTTTATTAAAACTTTAGCTACGAATACATACAAATAATTTTTTTAGCTAGCGACCAAGGCGCAGAATTCGCCTCCAATTTAGGGTCTCGCGGATAAATTTTTCAATCGCTCTCGAAGAAGGTACAGGAGGACGCCTCTACCGGAGGGCGCGGGAGACTAGGCGGCGCCTAGTGCGCGTCTTTATACACCGACGCCACCGTCGCGGCGCATACCGTTCCCAACCGCTGCTCGAAGAGCACGCGTTCCGCCTGTTCGAACGCTCGCGCTCGCGATCGCACGAACTCTACTCCCTCCTGCTCTCTTAAGTGTTAAAATGTAGAATCGGTGTTAGGATATGAAAAACTATGACGGGAAACCACCGTTTCAGTAACAATGCACGGGAAAATATACTGGGACACGATCTTCCTATCTCACAATACGAAAATCATAACAGAGATTTATGGTACGTGTGTGAGGGTGTAACGGAATTCTTTAGCTCGTAGCAGGAGTCCCCTGGAATGCTTTGTCGCCGCGACCCCACAAATCATGGCAGGAATTAGGCGCCTATTGTGAGATGATAGCCGAGAGAATGGATAGGAAAGAATCGAGGTTCTGGTACAATGGCACCAACGTCACCGACGTGGACCAGAACCAGGCCCCTGAGAATTACATGCTAGTCTTCGACGACATCGATCAGTTCTTCAACAAGTTCAATCTCTCCAACGACTCCACCGACCAGCAGGTGTCCAATTGCAACTACGTGATCAACACCACTAACATTACTTGTGCGGAAGTCGTTCCCTTGGAGACGCACCACAACTACTGGGCGCTCATTCTGATTCTCTTCCCCATTTTTACTCTTTTCGGTAATGTTCTTGTGATATTAAGTGTGTACAGAGAAAGGACTCTCCAGACCGCCACCAATTACTTCATCGTCAGTTTGGCTCTGGCCGATCTGCTCGTCGCTGTTGTGGTCATGCCCTTCGCAGTATACGTTCTGGTGAGTACCATCCCCATTATATTTACCATAAAATGTTTATAGTGCATATATCACAAAATTTCCTTCAACGAAAACAAAAAAGTATTAAATACATTTATATACGTCTTCGGAACATTGCTCAACAATCTTCATCTAAAAAATAGTTATATCTGTAACTTGGATAAATACAGGGTGTAACTAAAATGATTGACTAAAGTTTGACAGATTGTCAATTAAAAAAATTGTTTAAAACTTACCCAGAAACGTTTATTTTCGAAATAAGAGGATACAAAATTACAAGTAAACGACCTTTAGTCGAAATCGAAAACTATTGTAATCTATGAACTTAGGTATATGCTTACATTTTTTAAAAATATTAACGGGCGGGAAATTATATTAAATTGTATTTATATGGAAAGTCCTATTTTTACCAAAGTTATGTCATATGCTACTAACAGATTGTATTTAAAATATAAATAATTTTTAATTTAATCTTAAGTAAATTTAAAAAAAAATGTTTAAAACATACCCAGAAACGTTTATTTTCGAAATAATAGGATAAATAATTACAAGTAAACAACCTTTAGTCGAAATCGAAAACTATTGTAATCTATAAGCTTAGGTATATGCTTACGTTTTTTAAAAATATTATCGGGAAAATATATTAAATTGTATTTATATGGAAAGTCTTATTTTTACTAAAGTTATGTCATATACTACCACTAGATTGTATTTAAAATATGAATAATTTTTCATTTAATTTTAAGTAAATTTAAAAAAATGTTTAAAACATATCCAGAAACGTTTATTTTCGAAATAAGAGGATAAAAAATTACAAGTAAACGATCTTTAGTCGAATTCGAAAACTATTGTAATCTATAAGCTTAGGTATATGCTTACATTTTTTTTAAATACTATCTTGAAAGCCTTATTTTTACTATAAGTTATGTCATATACTACCAACAGATTGTATTTAAAGTATAAATAATTTTTAATTTAATCTGAAGTGGCAAAGATATAAAGGAAACTTTAGTAGACTCGAGTTTTGTTAGTATAATAATGTGACGTAAAAAATATTTAAAATATGACATTTGCTTAATGTTATATAAATCATATAATTAATTTTTCGGTTACTATACCCCTGTTTATTTTTTCCTGCATAACTAGCAAATCATATTTGTTAAAATTTTGTCAATATTAAATTCTGGTCCAAATTATTAGGTAAAAGTTTGTCCAAAACATAATATATTATGACCTTGAAATACGACAGTGAAATTGTTCTACCTACATTATTATTTCTGACTTTTCGAGCAAAAAGAAATTGTGGAATAATGGATCTTTTCAGTTATCGCCTTTATAAAATAGTTATTTATCTACCTAGACCTAAAAGTAGTATTTTATGTTGGTCGAGCATTAGGCGAAGTAAAAAAACTATCGAGGCCATAAAATAGATTTTGTCAAACGACTTTAAATATTTAGTTTCTTTTCATTAATCAATATCTTTGGTTCAGTCTCACTTTTTGAATGTCATATTACTTTATGTAGGCAAATGTTTCATGGACTCAATTACTATACGTCCACTTGTACTTTATGGACGATGAAGTAGCCAACAGTGGCTCGTGTTTTCAAAGTCATAAATTTTAGGTGCAGTACATAACATGACATCTAAAAAGTGACATTTCCTGTCCCGAAATTACTTTGTGAAACTGCTTTTTATTATGAGGTAGATAATTTGTTTTGTTAATTTGGATTTTTTTTAAGAATGTTAAGAATTTTGACGAAAAAATGTTTGTTGGGATTTAAAATAATTCACATAACCCCATAGAAAAAGTTCAAGGGGGTGTGATCACATGATCTTGGTGGCCCGTTAACATCAACCTTTCTCAAAATAGCCGGTTCAGGAAACTGCTGTTGCAATAAATCAATTGTCCGACAAGATGTGTGACAAGATGATCATCTTGTTAAAAACAAAAACATTTTCTATATCAACATCTGCTATCATTTCAGGCCGAAGATATTCTGTTAGCATATCCCTGTAATATTCTTCTTTGGCAGTAATACGATTTTCTTCATCGTCTTCAAAGAAAAGGTCCGATCATGCGTTGAGCCCAAAAACACTCAAACGGTGACCTTCTGATGATAAAAAGGCACGAAGGCACATCCTGAAACGTTACTCTAGAGCACAGTTCGACGCAGATGATGATCAGCTAGCCTCAGTTCTTGAATAATTTAGTCTCCTTAGATGAAGAACTTAATGCAAAATTTGCCACAAAGTCTGAGAAAAACCAAGTTTCTTAAAAACGACGGGAAATAGAGAGATTCGGATCATCTCTTACACTCTGGCTCACAGCAAAGATGTTGTCCTGTGATCTAACAATCCTATGACATATGTTGACTTATATGTAACTGAGTCCGTTTATTGATTTTTTTTAACCAGACGATAAAGAGAGCGTTTGATTGTCTGATTATGTTGACCATATTTGGTATTTCCCAAATTGATTCCTGTAAGCCATACTTTATGTAACAATATATTAACTTTTCCTTGCATCTATATATATAAATGTATTCTACAAATTGCCAAAAATAAAAGTTATTATGAACGTAATTCTGATAGTCACAATTACCCAACCAGATATGGTAATCTCTTGCGCATTCCGAAAAAGCGCCTTATTATATGGGCATTAAGTTAATAAACATCTTACCAGTCGATATTAAACAAGAAAGCAATTTTAACTCATTCAAATTCAAAGTAAAAAAATACCTTATAAACAAATGTTTCTATAGTGTATCAGAAATGACTGATCAATAATTCAAAATTTTTTATCTTTACTGTTATTTTTTACCCATGTTTTATATCTTGTTAGTTACCCTGTTTTTATTTTTGTTTTCTGTTTATTTAGTTTATACATATGTATGTGTACCTCATTATGTTTTAATGTATTATATGTATAATACTATACTGTGATAATGTAATCGTGTAGACTGTAGAATATGATATATGTCTATTAGCATAGGCGTGTACAACTAAACTTGTACACATGACTTATCCAATATCATTTGTTGATCTAAATGGACTAATAAATTATTATTATTATTATTATTATAAATTACTCTCGATGCTCGAAACGTCTGGTAAATTTGAATGAATTTTATGCGCTATTTATTTGCATATCTTTCCATCTCACTCACTACTAAACATAATTGTCAACGTTTGACATTGACATTTCGAGCCATATTCCCACCATTACATTTTAAATTGAAAAACCCGTTATCCAGTTTTACCTATTATTGATTTTAAACGTGAGAAAATACTTGAAATTTATACTGAAATTGCAACTTGGGAAAAGAACAGCATAAATTTGTTACTCTGATGTTAAGAACCTTTGACAAAGCTTCAAGATGTTATCGGATTGGATCACTGAAACAATTTGATAACATGATTCGTGCAATGAACATTATCTACTGAATGTTGTTTTACGCAAATTTGTACTCATGCAGATTTCTCAAAAATATTTAATGTAAAAAAATTATCTGCGGATTAAAAGGTACGAAAAACGGTGATAAGAAAATGTTTTTGTATTCCCTGACCCCAGTTCATCTTTTCGTCTAAAAAGAATGCATCAAGTTAGCTAGCCGCATTCCTGTTCCATGTATGGCATGCCTTAGTACTTGTTAGAGCATTTGGGAATTAGGAAAATACCGAGAAATAAATGCCTTTTCTATGGAGCGCGGGATATTGGAAAACTTTAAAGTTCCTGCCTTCTTTGATCTAACAATACTGCTATCGGGCCATCGCATTGTCCGTGTTTTTATATTTAAACCAGTCTCAAAGCTAATTTTGTTTGCCCGTAGGCATCCAGCGATCTGGGAAATAAATATGGCCATATCTATGCTAATATTATGATCGGGTCCCCGTTTAATCCCGACAGGACGGCATGTTCCTGACCTTCTCGTCCCGCGAATTAAAATAAAAATTGCCCTTGTCACTCGATGGTATCGCAGTTGCCGAAAACACTAAGGGCCTATTTGGGTAATCGTTCCCAGTGTAGGCTGCTGACGATTCTCGGTTGAAGTGCTTATCATTTAATTCATCAAATTAACCTTTTTCGGCGAGGGGCGAGATCAGCCGACCTAATTTTTTGACGAAATGCCACTTACGCGATATTACGCCATTTCTGGCGAATTTCAGTTTTTGAGTGTTCTAGTGCTCATTTCACCGTGTTAATGACTCCAAGTTAATTTAATTTATATTAAAACCTCGTAAAGTTTTATTACCACTGATTAAAAAGCGCCTAACTCAAGTATCTGGATTTATAGTTATGAAATATACAAAATTCATTTATTTTTCTGCTAGTTACAATTTTTTAAATTTCTGAAATCATCCCTTAACTTCTAGTGTCCCTAATTCTGTTAATTTTAAATGTTCAAGAAAAAGACAATAGACCATTTTTATGTAGAATTTTATGCTATACAACTTTTATAAGAAAATTGCCAGGTTGTAAATTTTTTCATTATATTCAAGAAAATTAATTTCTGATAGCGAAATCAATTTATTAAAATTGTAACCTAGATTATGAAGTACCTACACATTTAAATAGTCAAAAAAAAAATAAAATAAAATAAATTTCATTAAGAATTGTGTAATGTAATATTTTCTAAAGTTCGTCAAATATTTTTATTCAAACGTAAGGAAACAACAGTGGGGAATACATGACAACATATATTTTTAACATTTATTTGCTTACAATCGGTGAATTTTGAAAATATAATATACAAGGTGTCTCGTATCGTTATGTTTCAGATCATACTTCGGGTCTTGCTTTTCCAATTGGCACCGATTTTTCAGTAGAACTCCACGTGATCTCTATAGTAATATTTAATTATACCCTAAATGTGCTCAATGGGGTTAAAAATGCAATGGTAAGTGGGGAGACAAAGTACTTCATCTTACATTTTTCAGCCATCGTATCAGCTTGAGATCTATTTCGAGAAAAAGCAAAAAACAATATAATATACATTTCATGTATTTTATACCAAGTTATATTCGTTCTAAGCTGTGTTTT